GGGGTGTCTGTGGTAGCAACTTCTGTTAGCTTGTGTTGTCCAGGAGGTGAGAAGCAGCTTCTGATAGAAGACATGGCAAGAAAGAGGCAAAGAGAAAGAGCAGGGAACCAGGGAAGAGCCTCACCCTCAGGGAGTCACAAGACTGTCAATTCCTTCCCTTCAGTGCTGCCTTCCTGGGGATCATGTGGGAAATCTATGGAGTGAACAATTTCTTTGCTGCTCTTTTTTGCTGCAAGACAAACCAAACAAAATGTGTCAGTAATGTTCCTTTATATCTTCTTCCCAACTTGAATAAAAATTCCTGCAACTTTGTCCCATTCAGAGTTTTAGTGTGGGGTAAGCACTGAAGTCCTGTAAACTTAGAATGACTGAGCCTTTGGGACCAGCAGGTGGCATAGTGGTTAAGGTCCCACAGGGCCAACTGCAGTTGCAGTCCCGGATCTGGCAGCTTGAAAATTACACGGCGGATGTGTGTGCATGCCCAAAATTCCAAAAGGAGAATGGGGAGAAGGTTGTGGTGTGGCCATCCCTGCTGGGGGGTGGTTTCACACTTTCTCTCTGTCTCTCTCATCAGCAACTGAACTCGGCCTGTGGCAAAAAAAACCCAAAAAAACAAAAAAAAACTAAAAAAAAACTAAAAAAAAAAAAGACTGACTTTTCCCACCTCTTAACCACACCCCTCCAACTCCACCAGTCCTCCAAAATTTCCTGTCTACTCTTCCACTTAGACTTTGCCGCTTTCCTGCCTGTCATGCATACATTCCACTATGTTCTCTAATCCCTCCCTTTTAGTGAATCTCCAATAGAATGAGTAGAATGAGCACCCCCATGTGGAGCCCTGGAGGACATGAGCTCTTGTCTATTTTACTCCAGTTTCCCGTCACTTCCTATAGAAGGCTATGCACAAGGCATGGAGGTGGGGAGAGACCAGCTCCTTAGATCTCAGTAACAAAATTTACTTACGTCCTCAAGCTTTTAATCGCCTTTCTTTCCCTCTTTCTGTTTTCTCATAGAAAGCTGTGTTTCAGGTTTCCTAGGGTTATTTTCCTCTCATGGTCTCATTCTCTTTATCTGAGCCTAAGAACTGAGGCACTTGGGCTCCATATCAGGACCTCCTGGGTCACTTCCTGCTTTCTTCTATGTGTGGAGTCCTTGCATTTTACCTGCGCATGGAAAAAGAGAGTCAGCAAAATGACAGACAGGGTTGGGAATTAGACATTGGTTCTGTGTGTGTGTGTGTGTGTGTGTGTATTATTTTATTGAACTTTATATATTTTAATTTGACTAGAGAGGGACAGAGTGACAGAGAGAGAGAGGGAAAATGAGAAAGCAAGTCTAGGATTTGAACCAGGGCCAGCCACGTGAAAGTCCAGCACTCCCAACCACACGCCACCTGCCAGTCCCAGGACATTGGTTTTGGAGAGGGGACATAGATACATGGCCTATAAGGTGCCAGAATATATAAGCTATCATGGCACTACCACAGGAAATGTTAGAGAGGGGGACTAGAAAATAGGAGTTGTCTCATTACTCTCCAAGAGTGAAGGTGATGAGACAATATCAAGACTAGATGCAAGCCAGGCCGGACAAGACATTAAGAAGGAAATGGGGTTGTTCGACAGAACCCCTGATTGGGACAATTTGACTGGAGGAGAATTTAGCAAGGCCAGTTGGTATGGACAGGTATAACTGAGTTATGAACATAGAACATCCCGTATTCAAACACACCCTCTGGAGTCTGTGAAGCTTCTCCAGGTATGAGGGATATAAGCTTCCACTTACCTCGGATTCTCCTCCTCTGCTGCAAAGCCCTCTGCCTCACTGGGTCCTCTCCTTGTCTTCGGAGACGACAGCATATGTACTGACCTACCATCTGCTTCACCTTCTTGGAGCTTAAGGTTGATCTTATTCGAGTATTGATCTTGGACATTCTGTATCACAGTAAAAGGAAAAAAGAAAGTACCTATTATGCACAGAAATCAAAGTCCCACGAGCATCCTCTTTTCCAAGTAGATCTAAAGAGACCTTACTGACCCCTGAGTCTAACCCACAACCAGTTTGATCTTCTCACAGAGACACCCTGTAAGGAGCCTTTTTTTTTTAGAGAGTGATAGCCTATAGCCCATGATATAGGGTACATGGACTCGCCAGAGAGACACAGAAGCAGAGATAGAAAGCAAGAAATCGCCCCCAGAGATGGCGACATTGTAATCCCTTCGCCTCCATTCTCCTCTTGGTATTTAGGGCATGCATGCATACATGCCCAGTCTGAGTTTTAAGCCAGCGAAACCAGAACTCAAACCACAGTCAACTACATGGGAGTCCAGTGACATAACCATTACGCCATCTGCTGGTCCCATGAGGAAACATTTTAGCTCCTTGTGCCATGATTGCCTGCTTCCAGAACAGGACCCTCACAGACAAGACACATTGCGTATAAATGGTGAGTTTGGAATCTGTAGCCTGGAATCCCTGATTTTGGAGACTCTAAAAATGATCACAATGGGCAGCATTGAGAAAATGGAAGGCAACATTTTTCTGGATAAGCTAAATCATGACAATAGAAATGCTCAATGTAACCAGCGGAAAATATTTTTCAAAATCTGTGATGGGGGACCAGCAGTTAGCATAATGACTATGTTGCTGGACTCCCACGTAGTTGACCGCAGTTCGCGTCCCGGACCCAGTGGCTTAAAACTCATGCCGGGCACGTGTGCGTGCATGCCCAAGATCCTGAGAGGAGAATGAGGAGAAGGGATTGCGGCATGGCCATCCCCCTGGGAAGTAATTTCTCGCTTTCCGTCTGTCTCTGTCTGGAGAGCGCACGTGCCCTATAGCAAAAACCTCTCCAAAAAAAAAAAAATCTGTAATAGGGTCTGTTTTCTTCTTCAAAATTGAAATTATCCCATTAGTCCTGAGACGAGATAATTTCCAGATATGAACAGAGCAAAAATTTCATCTCCTCATTAGGCTAAGAAGCGGTTGAGAGCTTCACACCTGTGGGTTTGTCAGTGTTTCTTACTACTTTAGATTCATCACCATACTTTTTTAACTAGTTACTAATAAGTTTGAAATAGGTATGTTTGAGATGTGCATAAAAAGTAAACATTGTTATCTATAAATATCTTTGGCCTAAAACAGCAGTTTTTCATAATTGCTCATTTATGGTATATTTTCTCTGGAGCATTTTTTAAAATCTTTTGGAATTGAAACTTTCATATAAGGGCCAACTGGTGGCTTGGTGGTTAAAAAGCTGGACTCATATGCTCTACCATGGTTTAAGCTCCGGACCCAGTGGCTTGAAAATCATGCCGGATGTGTGTGTGCATGCCCAAAAACCCTGAAAGAATGGAGAAGGGACCACGGTATGGCCATCCCTCCTGGGGGTGATTTCTCATTTTCCCTCCACTCTCTTAAATGAGTATGCACACTCTATACCAAAAACCTAAAAAAAAAAAAGCACATTTAAAACTTAAAAAATTAAAAAGAAACTATTTCATAATAGTATTAAAATGGTTATTCTATTAGTCTACTCTTAATTATGTAAGTAGTTAGAGAATATTTACCCCAACATTCACCGCCATAGCATTACATATTTCCAATACATCCTTCTCTGATGAATAACCTAGTGACCGAAACTAATGAAAACTCACCTGAAATCCAGCTGTTCTCCTCCTGTCATTAGATTCTCAGATGGAAGAGTGCTGGACAAATTCCGCCGGAAACGGTAAAGTTGCCAGGATGCCTGGAGAAGGGCTAAGGGGGGCAGATTCTTTTCCGGGACGTCTTGGAAGTTGTTTCAAGGTCACATGACTGTGTTTGCAATGTAATCTAGTCAATACAATCCCGTCATGTCTATCTAGTCACACCCAGAAACTTGCTATGATTCGTTGTGTTCCATTTCCATAAATATTTATATATTAATAAATAAACATTCAAAAGCTATCAACAAAATGTTTCTGGCTAATGAAAAGCATTTATGCACTGTTCGTTTCACTCTGCACCTGGAAAGTTCTGTGTTGATGCAAGGAGTTCTAGTTCATTTGCTTTCTTTTGAAGTGTGGTCATCTGCGTAGATGCACTGTTTTTTTGTTTTGTTTTGTTTTGTTTTGTTTTGTTTTTCACTCCTTTTTCTATTTGGTTGGCAGTTTCAGTTTTCTCCACTTCCTTTCCAAGAGAAATCTAGGCATTCAGTATTTGGGGTAAATGTGTTTATATAAACTGGAAACAAGGCCTGGGATCCCTGGATGTCCTTTTAGGGCACGTTCTTAGAAGGTCAGTTACAAAGTCCTAAATCTGACCAGTGTCAGGCAAGCAATCTACAAAACGTTCTGCATTTTCCAGTGCACGCACTTATCTCAGTCACCCCAGAATAACCACAATATCCTTGTTAATGAACACTTTGCTGAAGTTCTGCAGGCTAAAACCAGTAGTAAACAGGGGGGAAAACATATACAGTACTAAAAGAAAAAAAAATATATATATACATATGTACATATATACACATACTCAATTCCACTCCAAATCCCAGTATTCAAAGTCTCTAACATGATTCATACATATATCACATTATCAAAGTTCAAACATCCAATACCCATCAATAACTCGATATCCAAACATACCACATTTGGCAAGTCCCCTGACCCAACAATAAACCCTTTTTATTTTTATTTTTTTGAGTTTTTTGCTATACTGCAGTTGGCTACATGGGAGTTCAGCAACATAGCCACTACACTAACTGCTGATCCCAGAGAAACCCTATTCTTGAAAATAAGTTCACAATATAAACCCACAACCCAAAAAGCATAATGTACAGATGTCCACACTGGATGCCAGGTAGCATAGACACACCCAGAGTGAGTCCACATGATCAGAACACTCCTAAGTATGATAAAAATATTTCCTATATGTGGTCTCACTGCCAAATATTCATCCCCCGGTTTTGAATGGCACCATGAGTATCTAACCAAAATTGACTTTTTTGTTTCTTCCTCTAGGAGTTACTGTGCCATTGTGTCTGTATCTTTGCATGTGCGTAGACTTTTATACTGAGATTACTGGAACACAAGCAATGGCCTCGTGTTCTGCTTGTTTTTCCTCTTTGTATTTCTAGCCCTCTTGTCCAGGCAAGGGTGTTTTCCAGTGCTCACTGGCCACTGACCTGTGATGTTTCTTGCTGAGTTGTTCGACAGGTAATTTTCCGGTTTGGAATGGTTTTTCCCCATCTCATCTCTGTATTTTGATGGGTGAATCACAGCTGCATTGGAAGGCAGGGTGAAATCTATTTTCCTGAGATTCAATCCAGACTTTGGTCGGTTCTGTTCTTGAAGACATTTCCACTGGTCGAAGGTGATCTCTTTGCTTGTTTTCTCTAAGTGCCCTTGTGATTCTAGGATATGGGAGTCTCTTTTGACTCCTCCTCCGGTTGCTCTGAGGTTAGTTCCTTTATCCCTAAGGGCTCTCGATTCCCTTCCTCCTGACACTTGCCCACCGCCTCTTCCTAATTCATTCTTCTGGACATAAAATAGCACATAGGCAGGCTGACTCAGCACAACTGTCACGTCACAGGCCGTTACCTCGGCATCGTCCATCTTGTACCACTGGCCATTCCCAGCTTTTATGTAGCAGAAGTAATGTCCATTGTGACAGCTCGAGCCAGCATGGACCAGCACAGCATAGAGGCCATAAATGAGGGGGCCTCTGTTCTGCTCGGACGTGTATGTCTGCATGTCAAGACACTCGGGATATTGCACAGCCTTTGTAGTTTTTTCACCTGTGAAATCGGAGAACCGCTTCAGCACAAGGATAAGAACCTTGGAGGACGCGTGCAGAGTCAGCGTCTTGGAAGCCAGCCTCCTCTCTAGACAAACGCTGCAATGGTAGGCATTTTCTCCATCCAGCTCTTCCGGCTTCACCAACTCTTCCAAAGCTTGGCTCACACTCTGAGCTGTCTTGATATCCAGGCTAATGTCCAGATACGGGTCAAAGGTGTCTGAAACGCTATGGCAGTGGAGACACTTGATTTGAGATCTCCAGTACCCACCAAATATTGCACGGATTAGGGTGCTGTCCTCGGAGGGATGATCGAAGTGCTTCTGCCCAGACAGACTTGCTTCCTGCATGGCCTCCAAGGTGAACATCAGAAATTCATGGGCATCTTCCTGTTCGTTTCTGTGGAAGCTAGCAGCCAGTGCATACGAGGGCTGTATAATGCTGCCAGGATGCTGGAGAACCCAGGTGATGTGAGCTTGCATAATACACAGCATGCAGAATCCCTGGTGATGACAGGTTTGAGAGTGCTCCTGGGACAGCATGTAGTTGGCAATAGGCGGTGTGTATGTCAGACACTGCAGTGCCGCGTTCATGTAGCAGGTGTTTCCCATATTCTGAAGTCCAGCCCCAGCCTGGTAAGGTCTCCTCCAATGCAGATAAAGTTTCTCCCTGGGAGCTGGGTCTGTGACCCCAGTCGCCATATTGTTATGCAGGTGGAGATTGTTCTGAAATGACAAGGACAAGTTCTCCGATGAGAATTACAATGGATTTTGAGACCAGCAGTTAGCGTAATGACTATGTCACTGAACTCCCATGTAGCCAGCCACGGTTCACGTCCCGGACCCAGTGGCTTAAACTCACGCCGGGCGCATGTGCGTGCGTGCACAAGATCCCGAGAGGAGAATAGAGAAGGGATTGCAGCATGGCCATCCCCCCTGGGGGGTGATTTCTCGCTTTATATCTCTCTGTCTCTCTCTGTCTTTCTGGCAAGCGCATGCGCCCTATAGCAAAAACCTCTCCAAAAAATTTTTAAAAATAGACACTCCCATCTTTAGACCCCTGGGCCAGGAACTTCGAGGGAGGACTGCCTGCCTTAGCTTCAGCCCCGGGACCCCCCTTTCACTGAAACACCTGCGAAGAAGGAGATACATTTCTTTGTACACCTGAAGAGAATACTTTTTCTTGGATTACATTACTAAACACAATTGAAGAGAGACTTTGGCTGTCTCCATTCCACATCAGAAAGGAAACACTTGCTCCTACTCGAAGAAACGTCCTCGTAAAAAGTTTTTCAAAGGGAACACATCTCCCAATGGTTAGAAGTAGAAGAACCTCAGGTCTGAATAAAGCAGGAAATATGTCTCCATCAAAGGAACACAGTAACTCCCTTCCTTTTCTTGAAAAAATAGAGGACGTTACCAAAATGTCCGAGATAGA